CACGCCCGGAGAGAACGACAGCCAGAAGTCAGCCTTTTATACTAGTTTAGAACTAGCGTTAGCCCAATTTAGAATAATCAACTTTCTTAGTCTTTGCAACTCCCTTCTGGAGATTGCCTCACCAGTCTAAAAAATCCCATATGGGATCACTATTAGGGCCGGGTTTGGAGGCGAACCAGCCAAAGGCTGAAAGCCTCCCTAATAAAGCTAAATAATAATAATAATATTAACATTAGATTGTAAGTTTTATTAACCTTGTGTTTAGTTTGTATTTTGTACGTGTGGGTTTTTTTATGTTTGTTTTCAAGATGAATAGAAATTAGTTCATGTTTTAGGATTAATTAAATATTTGTATCGTAAACCACATTTCAAACCTCCCTCTCCCTTTTCCCATCCAAAAAAAATTGTTAATCCCCACTAACCTCGAGACAACCGCAAGTATCCGGTCCAGCTCCTTTAACTTTAAATATAAGAAATCAATAATGTATAACAAAAATGATAGCTCGTCTCTGTAAAGTTTATTCGATTGAGCCTGTACAAATAAAGTAATTAATAAAAAAAAAAATATGCTGCTTCCCCAGCACAGTCGTCAGCGAGTAGTAAGTAGACGAAACAAGTCGAAGTGGCATTCGCCTTCGATCCTCGGGCGCGTGCGAATAGGGAGGATGGAATTACGTAATATTTTGCACACTCATTGCCATATTCAAAACCAAACGCAAATTCTTCGAGATAACCACCATCCGTCGTCTGGCTCACCGTGGCGGTTATTCCGTCCACTAGCGGTCCTACGTCAAGCTTCCGTTCGTGCCCCTTTGCAAATTTAGTGCGAGCAGATTATTGCAAAAAAGCTGTTGATAAAATCGTTAATGTAAATGAGAAAAAAGTAAGGGTCCAATATTGCTCCTTTGGGGAACTCCTGTACTTATTTGTCTCAGGGCACAATGTGATTATGAACATAATTTAAAGTTTGATGCATTTTTACATTTATTGAACAAAAAACGTCATATTGCAAACTTCATTCTAATCATTCCTTTTCCGTTTCGGTGATGGTGATTGATTGGTTAATACAGAATACCGGTTAATCAAAATATTAAGATCCTCTCTAACTTTAATCAGTTCTGGTTTAGCATTTTCTTCTTTTTTACAAGTATGCCACCTCCTCTACCTGTCATACAAACTAAATTTTAAGCAAATCTTGATATTCACGCATTTTCTGTAGCAATTCCATGGATAATGCGGTTAATTCATCCCTTACTGTTACATTGGATGCTATACCATTAACTAAAAAAGACTGATCAATGTTGGTTGAAGGAATCATTCCTACCTCTTTTTACGAAAGGGAACCATTTCCTTGCTATTTCTGTCTTTAAACACAATTAAAATGGGGACCACTCCATTTGTTTTGTAACTAACATACAATCTTTTCACTGACAGAATCGAATTTGATGGCAAGTTTACTCCAATATCAGCAAAAGTTTTATCAACTAATTTCATGCTATTTTCATTCACTACGTTTTAGTTATTTGACACTGCCTTACGATCCGATCTATCTACATTAACCTCCAGTTGGTGAACAAAATTAGTTAACTCAGTATGCGACTTAGACAGATCATAAATTTGCTGTGTTAGATTTTCAAGTTTATTAAAATTTGATTCAATTTCATCAAACTTTGCTGAAAGAAATTCCTGCGATTTCTCAATGGCAGCTGTTACTGAACGAACCTCCGATTTCACATAAGTCATTTGGTCAGCAAAAACATTGGCAACAGTATCTTTCAACTCAGAAGCGAGCATGCTCATCATTGAAGATCTGCTGTTCTGCATCTCTACGATTCGCTTGTATATCTCAGAGCAACTTGTGGTGCAGAAGAACATATTTACTTTCACCCGGCTAATAGCACTACCGATGATATTTCTGCACAAGTGAGCGGCAGAGAAGCAATACATACAAGAGATGATTTTATTTGGGTCTGGCTCTTGCTTCCTGCACACAACGCAGCTAACAATATCGCCATGCATGTCAGTAGCTGTTTGGATAAAAACAGTAGGAGAAAGGGAGAAGATATTAAAAACGATCACACACAATTGTACATGCAGAAACATTTATAAAACAAGCTGATATTTAGAAGAACTCTTTATATCTTAGTTAATTCGATAGCGGTCGAGATAGTTTCTTCTGTATTGTTGGGAAACTCTAGTATGCAAGAAATGTTGATTTCGCTGTTAGATAACCATTAGACTGATGCTCCACAGTGCTTAATCGGTTCCAAATTGGGTCCTACTTAGCCTCCCCAAATTTGAACTACTTTAGTAAAAAACTGACTTGGCACAAAACATTTCAAGTTTATATGGGAATTACTATGGGAGGACTTTTGGTTTTTGTTCATATCTATCTAACAATTCACCACATCACTATGCTTTTAAAAATAATAGCAGTGATTGTAGCAAATTTTCTCAGCTACAACTTTATTGAAAACCATTTGTCAATCAAATGTAAGTAACAAAATTTATTAATGATTCAAGTCACTGATGTCTTATGATTATGCTCATTCAACTGTTAAGCAGGCAACATTGGTGTTTCTGGTGCGAAGAATAGAGCACAAATATCATGGCTACTATGTCACACTGCAGAATACAGTGTTGCCCACAGAACAGCTGCTTGATCACGCCATAAGATTATTAATCTCTTAAACAATTAATAACAATTTAATTTGACATTTGACTGAAAAACAATATTCCGCAAAGTTGTACCTTAGAAAATTTCCCGAAAGAATAGTTTTAGAAATTTTAGAAAAAGCAATATGGAAAATGGGCAGAAGACAATGAACAAAAAGTTTGGATTTCCCATAGTAATTTCCATACAAACTTCGAATAGTTTGTGCCAAGTCAGTTTCTTACCAAATGAGTTAAAATTTTGGGAAGCTAATCAGGACCTGATTTGAAACCGTTTGAGCACTGTGGAGAGAAAATTTAAAATTTTGCATCAGTCTAATAGTCATCCAATCAAGGATATCACGGCTCAACTTGCGCTAGGTTCTGTTTTTACTAAATCAGCTGCGTCTCAAACCACAGCCACTTCTGTATATATGCAAGCTGTCTGAGCACAGCCGCATACAGTGAAACTGGCCCTTGCCTTCCACGACCGAACCACAAGCATGTGCAAAATGACGTACTAGAATAACTGCGAGATTGTGTACAGCCTAGCAACTTTCCGCCACGGAATCCGGCAGTGAGAGAATATACCACAACAGCAAGTGCACATACAATACCGTCGGAAACAATATCGCAACAACTACAATCAAACTATCACTCGGTATAGATTATTCACCAACGTTTTCCACGTAATGTTTACGCCTTACCGTATACATTTTGAATGACAATGGAATAACACTTTTGAATAACACAAACAAACACAGTAATTCAATGAAAACTTAAAAATACTATATATTTAGTGATATAAAAGTGGAGCTTAAAGGCACTGTATTTTAACCGTCACAAACAGTGTTGCCGAATCCAAAATAATATTAAGTTGAATGAAAGCATCCGATGTTTTCTACCTGACAATAATGATCCGGACTGTATTTACAAAGCTACTCAGTTTTGTGATATTGGAAAATATTATTTTAATGGTATCCAAATTTGTGCTAAGGAAACATGCAAAAACTTCAAATATGACGATTCATTAAATTTCCTTAATGGTATGTTTTTAAGAACCTACCCAATACTGCTTAATTCAGCGGAACATGTTTATATTATAAGGGAAATACTCACTACGCAAAAGCTTGTTGAAAATATGTATACGTATGAATACTCAGGAAACCTCAAACTTAACTATATTAATGATTCCCTTCGAGTCTGTGTTAATGTTACGATTTCAAATGGGTCTTCACGAGAATTTGAACTATGTTTCGATATGCAAAGCCAGAACACAAATTGTTTGTTTTGTACGGCTGTTACTTATAACGGATATTAATATATTTGAGATTTAATTTCGGTCGGGATATTACACCTTTAACTATATGTCAAGTTAATAAAATCATCCTGAAAATGGAAAGTCGTGAAGTAGGATTAATTTTAAGTCGTCAAAATTCGGAAGCGATTTTCTCGACTTGGTGATTTTGGAATTCCTAAATTCCCGAGACATTTATGAGGGGTCGTAGAGTTCTCTGCATCTCTCTTAAGCAAATGTTGAACTAACATACCTTTCCTATCCCTACCAGTTGTAAGGACGAGGCCAAGACAATCCTTAACTGTTGGAGCGGGATATGTCTTTATCTGTGAGATAGTAATTATTTCCTTCCTACTATCTGTCCAGTAATAGTTTAATAGTTTTGAATTCCTACCACGATATTGTGCAACTTGTTCGATGCTAATGCTAATGGTGATTTTAGAATTCCGCCCTTTTCAAATGTTAGTCTAGCAGTTTTTACGCAAAAGAGTGAGTGACGGCAACAATATGGGTACTGTTGACACCACTGGGCTTCAGCTGTACTCGCGACCGGCCTGCCGTGAAGTGAGATGTGAGAAGCGAGATGTATGCGTCACCGGTCTACAGCGGTAGGACCGTCGTTGATTGTTTACATCGATTCGTGGAGAAGTAGAACGGAGGATACAAACAAACAAAAACCCAAGAGATAGTGGAGGAGCTCAGTTTTGTTTAATAAAGTTGTAAAATCACAAACAAATCTAAAGTTTAAATCAGTTTTCTGTGGAGGTGGTATTTTCTTAGTTTAGTGCTAAATATTCCGGTTGACTTTCTAAATCGGATGATTACCTGCCAGAAGCTGAAGATACTATCAGAATAGTTCCGTAAACAAGTTGAATTAATTGATTGATTGACTAGTGTTGGAACTGAAAACAGCAGCATAACCAGTGTCGTAGCACGAGGGATTAGAGAGGACTATTTCTTTTGAGCTGCTTGAAAAGTTGCTGCAAAAATTTAGTCATATTCTATAATTGATCCGAACAAACTCAAAAGAATTATTGAGAAAAGGATCATGATGCCGGGAGATGCGAATTTCACCAAGACCGCCTGTGGAGGCTGCGAATCGGTGTCCGATGAGGATGAAGGCATGGTATGTTGTGACAAGTGCAACGTTTGGTACCATTACCGGTGCGTGGGAGTCACGGAGGAAGTCGAAAGTGACGCAAAGTGGTATTGTCCTGAGGAAGACTGCCAAAGCCAGAAGAAACTGGACGCAGAATCTTCCAAAACGGGTGCCAAAAAGAAGAAGAAAACGACCGACGACAACTCGGATAAGTCCAGCGTGAAATCCGACGGAAGGTCTGGCTCGTCGATGGAACGTCAGCTCAGAGCTCTTGAAAAGGAACGGAAAAAGAAAGAGCAAGAGCTGAAGAACGAACGCGTTCTGATGGAAAAGCGGATGGAAATCGACCGAATCCTTCAAGAACAGCGGATCGAAATGGAGAACGAGTTTCGGGCTAAGGAATTACAGCAGCAAAAACAGTTGTTGGAGAAGGCGCTGAAGGACAAGCAAGATCATTTGGACCGGATGAAGAAGATGCGGGAGTCGTTCAATGCAAGGATGGATCAAGTCCAGCAAGAGTTGTCCAAGCTAAACGCTGGTGAAGATGACAGAAAGGAATCGGTGAACAAAGTTTCTGATGCCGTGAAACAGTCGACCGCGGGAACACCGTTGAAGAATCCGGAAATACGTAGCCAAAAGCGATCGGAGAAAACCAAGAAGGTCGAATCGGATGAAGAAGAGGAGGAAGAGGAAGATGAAGAGTCTGATGAATCTAGCAGTGACGATGAAAGTGAGGAGCAGTCTGAAAGCGACTCGGATGAGGCCACCGAAGAAGAAGACGAGGAAGAAGAACCCAAGAAGACGAGCAAAGAGAAAAATAAGTCAGGAAAAGTTAGATCTCACGGGCTGGGACAGTCTAATGCGGCACCTTCTAAAGCGCAAATGGCGGCCCGGAGTGGAATCAGCAAGAGACTTCCACTATTTACTGGAAAACTTGAAGAATGGCCGCTGTTCATTGGAAGCTATCAAGCCTCCAACGATGCTTGTGGGTTTTCCGACGTTGAGAATCTTGTTCGGCTGCAGGAGAGCTTAAAGGGTCAGGCGTTGGAAAACGTTCGAGGACAGCTACTGTTTCCAAAATCGGTGCCGAAAGTCATAAGCAAACTTCGTCAGCTGTATGGACGCCCGGAACAGTTGCTACAGTGTCACCTTGAGAAAGTGCGGCGATTGGATCCTCCGAAGTCAGACAAATTGGCGTCATACATTCCATTCGGTAATGCTGTGGAGCAATTATGCGAGCATCTAGAGGCAGCGGGTTTAGAGCAGCACCTGGTTAATCCTCTTCTTATCCAGGATCTTGTCGATAAGCTTCCGGTCCATGATAAGCGTGAATGGGTTCGCTACAAAAATCGGAAAAGGAAGGTGAACCTGCGTACTTTCACCGATTTTGTGTCGAAGATTGTTGCAGAAGCTTGCGAGGCCAACGTGAAGATGGATTTCAGAGCAGAATCGAAGCCAGTTTGCAACGAGCACGCCGGAAAGAGCAAAGCGAAGGAAAAGGGAGCTCATTTATACAATCACAGTGCAGTGGAGAGGGCCAACCACGGCGTCGGCGAGAATCATCCGAGACCGTGCAAAGCGTGCAAGCGGACCGATCATCGTCTGCGATTCTGCCAGGATTTCAAGGCTTGGACACTTCGGGACCGTTTGAAGTTGGTCGAAAAGTGGAAACTCTGCGTTGTCTGCCTCAATGATCACGGTAACGCTCCGTGCAAATTCAAGATCCGGTGCAACATCGACGAATGTCGGGAACGTCACAATCCTCTATTGCATTCCGCCACCAGATCCGTGGTAATCAACGCACACTTTCGAACCACCAGTACCATCATGTTCCGTATGATACCAGTGACATTGTATTTCGGTAAGCGGTCGGTTAATACGTTAGCGTTTCTGGACGAGGGCGCATCAGTGACTCTGATAGAAAGTTCCCTGGCGGATCAGCTAGGTGTTCAAGGAACGAAGGAACAGTTGACCATCAAATGGACAGCCGATATCACGCGCGTGGAGAAGGGATCCCGACGAATGGACTTGTTCATTTCCGGACGAGATGGGAAGGAGAAACATCAACTCGGCACGGTTCGAACTGTTGACGAGCTGCTACTACCGAAGCAATCCCTAAGTGCGTCGGTGCTCTGTCAGCGGATGAAGAAACTGCAAGGGCTACCGATTGCTTCGTACGAAAACCAACGCCCGGGGTTATTGATCGGTCTGAACAATCTCCACTTGCTTGCACCGACTGAAGCAAAGGTTGGTAAGCCTGGTGAGCCAATAGCGGTGCGGTCCAAGCTAGGATGGGCAGTGTACGGTCCAAATGAGGTGCAGCTATCAAATGCGGAAGTGTATCTGGGACATCACGATGAAGTAAGCAATCAGGAGCTGCATGATCTGCTGAAAAGTCAGTACGCTTTAGAGGACTCCGTAGTGGTGAAGCTGACAGAATCGGAAGATGATAGAAGAGCTCGTGAAATCTTGGAGCGGACCACCAGAAGAGTGGGCGATCGATTCGAGACCGGCCTACTGTGGAAGGAAAGAGAGCCAGAACTTCCAGATAGTTATCCGATGGCCACGCGCAGGATGAAATGTTTGGAGCAACGACTGCTGAAGTCACCAGCGCTGTTCGAAAACGTTTGCAAGCAGATCAAGGAGTATCAGCAGAAGGGCTATGCGCATCTGGCAAGTGCCGAAGAATTAGAAGAAGCCGAACCGGGAAAAGTTTGGTATCTTCCACTCAACGTCGTCCTTAACCCAAAGAAACCGGGAAAAGTACGACTCGTGTGGGATGCAGCAGCAAGTGTGAAAGGAATATCCCTCAATTCCTTACTTCTCACAGGACCTGATTTGCTGGTATGTATACTCACCGTATTTTGCCAATTTCGCGAACGACCGATCGCTTTCGGTGGAGACATCCGCGAAATGTACCACCAGATGCAGATTCGTCCAGCCGACAGACGAGTACAGCGATTCGTCTTCCGATCGAATCCCAGAGAAGCACCTAGTATTTACGTTATGGACGTAGCTACTTTCGGATCGAAAAGTTCTCCATGTTCCGCCCAGTTCGTAAAGAACAAGAACGCGATGGAGTTTGCAGTACAGTATCCGGAAGCCGCCGCAGCAATCGTGAAGAAACACTACGTCGACGACTACTTCGACAGCGTTGATACCATCGAAGAAGCGATACAGCGGGCAAAGCAGGTGAGATTTATACATTCGAAAGGGGGATTCGAGATAAGAAACTGGGTATCCAATTCGGAAGAAGTCCTAGTCAGTTTTGGGGAACCGAAACCCGTCCAGACGATTCATTTCAACCAGGACAAAGAGACTGGAAATGAACGCGTACTCGGTATAATTTGGAATCCAGGTCAAGACGTTTTCTCCTTCTCGACTGAACACCGCGAAGATCTACAAGAGTACCTGCAGGGTCATAAGACACCAACGAAGCGCATTGTACTGAGTTGTGTCATGGGGTTCTTCGATCCGTTGGGACTACTCTCATGCTTCACCGTACATGGAAAGATCTTGGTTCAGGACTTATGGCGAACGGGCTGCGAGTGGGATGAAGAAGTCGACGATGCATGCTTGGTCAAGTGGAAGCAATGGACGGATCTCTTGCCGTTAGTGGAGAGGGTTCGCATTCCGCGCTCATATTTTGGACAGACGCGGTCATCCGAAATTAACAGGCTTGAGCTGCACATCTTCACGGACGCTAGTATACAGGCATATGGCTGCGTGGCCTACTTTCGTGCAATGGTAGACGGTGAAATTAAATGCCTGTTGGTGATGTCTCGATCAAAAGTAGCCCCTCTTAAGTTACAATCCATTCCGCGGTTGGAACTGATGGGAGCTGTCCTCGGTGCAAGAATGTTACAAACGATCAAATCCAACCATTCGCTTTCCATAAACCGTTGTTTTCTTTGGACAGATTCGCAAACAGTTATGAGTTGGTTGCGTTCGGATCAACGAAAATACAAGCAGGTTGCATTCAGGGTTGGAGAAATTTTGGAGACAACCAGCTCAACGGATTGGCGATGGATTAGATCTCGGATGAACCTGGCTGATGCACTAACGAAGTGGGGACAAGGTCCTCCATTGGATTCAGAAGGAGAGTGGTTTAATGGTCCAAATTTCCTGCACCAACCAGAAGATTGCTGGCCGACCGAGGGGTTGCCGGATGCAAACACTGAGCAGGAAATGAAAGCATACTTGCTGCACCATGAAGTGAAGGAGTTTCCAGAACCCGTGATCGATGCAGAAGTGACATGGCGCTGGCGTAAGTTGTTGCGAATCACAGCTTGCGTAATCAGATTCATTACAAATCTTCGACGCAAGGTCAAGGGCTTTCCGTTACGAACGATGGTGGCGAACGAGAGGCAACAACAGCTACTTAAGGCGGAATACAATGTTGTACAGCGACCACTGCAGCAGGACGAATTTTCGAGAGCGGAAGTGATTTTGTGGAGACAGGCGCAGTTGGAGGCGTTCCCAGATGAAGTAATGGTACTCCTGGGAAATGGATCACTCAAAGCGAATCAGAAGCCAGAGCAGATCGGGAAGAGGAGCCCATTATACAAACTCACCCCGATCGTAGACTAGTGTGGCGTGATTCGAATGAATGGTAGGATGGCGAAGTCAGACGAAATCCCGTTCGATATGAAGTTCCCGATTATCCTTCCGAAAGGACACGCAGTGACGAAACGATTGGTACAATATTACCATGAAAAGTTTGGACATGCAAATCGGGAAACGGTCTTCAACGAGCTTCGACAGAAGTTTTATATTCCGAAGTTGTGAACGGAAATCCAGCAAGTGATGAGAAAGTGTGTCTGGTGTAGAGTGAATCGCTGTTATGCTGAGGTCCCGATGATGGCTCCACTTCCGGTTCAGCGAATCACCCGACAGCTTCGACCTTTCAGTGCTGTTGGAGTCGATTATCTAGGACCTGTGGAAGTGACGGTTGGTAGAAGAAAGGAGAAGCGGTGGATCGCCCTGTTCACGTGCCTTGCTGTACGTGCGGTGCACTTGGAAGTAGTGCATGGATTGACAACGCAAGCATGTCTCATGGCCATTCACAGATTCATCTGCAAACGAGGAGTTCCAGACGAAATCTTCTCCGACAACGGGACAAATTTCAAGGGAGCCAGCAAGGAGTTGATTGCTTGGGTGAAGCGAATTGACAGTGAATGTGCGTATTCAGTGACGAGTAGCACAACGAAGTGGAACTTCAATCCTCCTGGTACGCCACACATGGGTGGTATTTGGGAGAGGATGGTTCGATCTGTAAAGGAGGCGATGAAGGCACTCGACGATGGCAGACGTCTGACGGACGAAATTCTATTAACTACCCTGGCTGAAGCGGAAGATATGGTAAATAGTCGTCCGCTAACGTACGTACCCCAGGAATCAGCAGATTCCGAAGCGCTAACACCGAACCATTTTCTTCGAGGTACGGTCAAGTCCGTCGATGTTCACGTAGATGGTTCGGTGGACTTAGCAGAAGCGTTGCGCGACATTTACAAGCGATCGCAGTACTTGGCGGACCAGATGTGGCAGCGTTGGTACAAGGAGTACTTGCCAACGATCAACAAGCGTACCAAGTGTTTTGCTGAGAGGAAGTCATTGAAGAAGGGAGATCTCGTGTTTGTAGTAGATGGACAGAACCGGAAAAGCTGGGTTAGAGGTATTGTCGAGGAAGTCTTCGTAGGATCAGACGGCAGAGTTAGGCAGGCGGACGTACGGACAGGCAAAGGCGTATTCCGGCGTGGAGTAGCCAACCTTGCAGTGCTGGAAGTTCTTGATGGTAAATCCGGAACCACTGATGAACGGGTACCGGAGTTACGGGCTGGGGTGTGTTGACACCACTGGGCTTCAGCTGTACTCGCGACCGGCCTGCCGTGAAGTGAGATGTGAGAAGCGAGATGTATGCGTCACCGGTCTACAGCGGTAGGACCGTCGTTGATTGTTTACATCGATTCGTGGAGAAGTAGAACGGAGGATACAAACAAAAAAAAAACCCAAGAGATAGTGGAGGAGCTCAGTTTTGTTTAATAAAGTTGTAAAATCACAAACAAATCTAAAGTTTAAATCAGTTTTCTGTGGAGGTGGTATTTTCTTAGTTTAGTGCTAAATACTCCGGTTGACTTTCTAAATCGGATGATTACCTGCCAGAAGCTGAAGATACTATCAGAATAGTTCCGTAAACAAGTTGAATTAATTGATTGATTGACTAGTGTTGGAACTGAAAACAGCAGCATAACCAGTGTCGTAGCACGAGGGATTAGAGGGGACTATTTCTTTTGAGCTGCTTGAAAATTTGCTGCAAAAATTTAGTCATATTCTATAATTGATCCGAACAGGTACGTATGACTGCTAAAGAGTGAAAAGAAGCTCGATTTCACAGATCGAGAGTCATATTCGATAGGCCGAAGTTGCATCCATTTATAGATTCAATTTGAGTACGGTAGACCGACATTACATCCACGTAACTGGAAAGTATCATGTCTAAATGGTGAGTTTTAGAATTTTACGTCTTACCTCAAATAATAGGAATATTTCAATTTGCATGTTGACAGTAAAATATCTTTTGCAGCTCAATTATTAACTAAGGTATAGCATAAAATGTAATCGAAGGCTTCAAACTAGTCCAAGCTTAGGAACATGTACCCTATCTGATGGACGCAACAAATTTTATTTATTATGACAGCAGAACATTTTTCATAACACATTAGTGGTGGAAAAATTTTCAATTTTTTTATGTGGATTTGTAATATTTTAAATTCACATTTAAATGTGCTGATTGAGTCTATTTTATGTTAGGTATGTTTGCAGTGGAATTTTAGTCAAGGGCATTCCGTAATGGACGAGTGTCTAATAATTCCCTAATTCTTTTTCTTTTTTCCTTTATTTAACATCGGTCTCTGTTCCGCAATCTAGTGCCAACCACCGACGGACATAGATTGCCATTCATTGACGGCAATTGAATGTGCAGGAATGCAGCTTCCACACCTGCGTAGGATATTGCACTCAATCAAACACACGTGATCACAGATTTTTATGAACCCAGACCCATTGGGGTGAGAAAACAGTCACGCTTACCACTACACCACCACCGGCGCCTTCCTAATAATTCCCATATGATATTTGGTGCACAACTTTCGTAAGAAAAGCGCACGTAGACCAATATGTTAGTTCCCAGCTTGTTTGATTAAACAAAAACGAATTTGGAGCTGGCTACTCATGGAGTGACGATGAGTAACCACCATGATAAGCACCGTCTAGAAAGATATGTATCATGGATCGATGGTAGCCTTCCGTACTGAGAAGTTGAGCCTATTTATATAATAGAAACCAAGAAAGCCTCATTAGAGAAGGTATGAAAACAGTTCCAAATCGCCTGTTTAATAAAAACTCCCATCAGCAATACTATCACGGTAGGTATTATTCAAATTCGAAAACTAGTACCATCACCGCGTGACAATCACTTTGAAGTTCCTGTCGCAAATCCAAACTTTCGATAACGTCAATCATAGTCCTCTATCCTAACACCTCTCACAGAACGTCTTCTGCTTTGCCTATCTCCCATCAGCGCCCAAGTGTTCTCAGCTGATCAAACAAACAGCTTCCAGTGTTCCGTATCTAATAATCCTCTCCTTCCTCCTCGCAAAGTTCAGTCAAAGAAATCTCCATTATAGACAGTGGAGTCATGTCTTATCGCCGCCATCCACCTTCATCCGAACCAGGGATCCCATCTACCGTCGTCATTAGAAGCACCATCCAATCACAGAGCGAATGCCACCGTCAAATAGACAACACCCTCGGGATCCACATCATCCTCTCGAGTTTCAAGATGTATATACATGCAGACGTGTAGTACGTACGTTTGGTTGTTAATTTGCGATCTTCTAGCCACGTGTTTGTCAATATTCTCACACATGCTGGCACTCGGCAGGGTTCAAGAATCGGCGACAACGATGCCGACGACGACGGGAAGCTAACCGGGATTCTGAAACATTCACTCTCAGGCAGAGCTAGTCAATGATGAATCGATACAGGAATAAAGTTTGCGTGGGTATGGGATGGAGCGGGCACGTGTGTGGGTGTGTGATTTAACCTTCCGGAGAACTTTAATCTCGGATGGCTGGCAAGTCAATACTAGATCGAAAAGCTCTCGTTTGGCATTCGGAGAAACTCGAACTCGATGATGCTCGTTAAGCCTTTGTTGACTTTTCCGATCACACGAAAACAACATTTGCCTTTGAAGATGGGCTGAAAGTTTTTCGGAGGTGTGGCTGATGGCAGTTGCCTCTTTGAGATTAGTTTTTGTTCTAATAGCGAAGGAAGTTCAGCACGATTTATACAGGCCCTTTGTTGATGAACGGGTTTCGATGCCATATTTTATGAAATTCCCCTTGTATGCTTTATTCATAACATAACACAATTATAAGAAAATCATCTTGTTCCATTTTCACATTTCACTTAACTCCACGCGGGAAGTCTTCCGACGAATCATTCTTTTCAGAGTTCGCAGTAAGAGAGACCAAACGCAACACCACGACGAAAGTTGCGTTGCAGCAGAAAAGTTAAGATGGCGCAAACGAAGGAAAGCCGTTATATTAATAATTCATGCATCGTGCTGCGACAGCTGGCGTCACACATCGCAGAAGAACCAACTTTCTTGAAAATTTCTGCACGCAGCAAAAAGAAGAATAAATAAAAAAAAATAAAAAGAAGGTTGGGTGACAAAAAAGTCAGAGCAAGCGTGCCGCTGCACTATGGGGAATCTCCATACAAGGAGGTGGCCAAAATTTGTTTTTTGCTTTTCTGCATTATTTGACAAGTTTTTATTTGTGTGTGCCTACATTTATTATCAAACATCATTTTGAGATCTTGAAATTTTCTAAGTCTTCTAAGATCTTGAAGTTGTACAGGCTCAATGTAGTCTTGAACAATGTCTGTGAAGCTCAATAGAACCTCCTGACAACATGTACAGCATGGAATGGTATCAATAAGATATGTATTGCTCTACAAACTATGCTGGACTTTAGATCTGGAAGATCTACAAGCTCAGTGAAGTCTTGAACAATGTTCTGAAAATGTATATGAGACCGTGAAGCTCAAGAGAACCTCTTGATAACATGTACATTACGGATTGTTAACAATTATATTTTTAATACTCTCCAAACTATTCTGGAGCTGAGATCTAGAAGTTCTACAGGCTCAATGAAAGCCTTGACCAATGCACTGTAAATCTGTATGAGTCCATTAAGTTAAAGAGAGTCTCTTGACAGCATGCACATTATGAAGTGGCATAAATAATATATTTAATGCTCTCCAAACCATTTTGGAGTTCTTTTCTTGAAGTTCTACATACTCAATGAAATCTTGAACAATGTCCTAGAAATCTTTATGAGTCCAAATAGCTCAAGAAAGCTATTGGACTATATGGTCATCATTGAATGATATATTTAGCGTTGGACCAAGGATGGAGCCTTGTGTAACTCGCACTGTGATCCTAATCGATCTCTGTCCCATATCTGTCTCGTAGACCAGAACCCGGTTCTGGAAATAACTCCTCAGGATCCTGCACAGGTAGTCAG